AGATGAAATAAATTATAAAGCATAATAGTTTACATTCTATTCAAAACTTTTATCTGATAGAATAGATCATTCACATGCCTCAGTGGTGTTAGAAGAAGCATAGTTAAAAAAAATTCTGTCAATATTCAAATACATGACCTGCCAGGCTTCAGAAAGGAAAATGCTTTAAAGCTCGAGTTTGAATGATAGATGAGGATAGTAGTAACATTTGTAGAGGATTTTTAGTTACAGAGCACTTTTTCCTTGTTTCATTATCTGTGTTTCACAACTCTGGCAGTGTTAATGGGGTAGCAGAAAATCAATGATAGATGAGACTAACCAGAAAGACTGTATGGGGAAGAGATCGGTAGTTGTTGGAAATCCCAAAGGGAACTGAACATTATACCTATAGTTGGAACTTTAGTTTATACATATCCTTCAAAGGTTTTTAGGTAAAGAAGTAGCCTGTTTCTTTTTTTTAATGATCTTAAAATTTTTAAAGATTTATTTACTTATTTGAAAAGCAGAGTAACAGAGGGAGATAGATAGAGGTCTTCTACTCGCTTGTTTATGACTCAAATACTTCTAATAGCCAGGGCCGAGGCAGGCCGAAGTCAATAGCCAGCAACTCCACTGGGGTCTCTCCTGTGGGTGGCAGGAACTTGGGCCATCATCTGTTGCCTCCTGTTACTCAAATATAGTTGGCAAGCATCCTAAGTGGCAGATTAACCTGCTGCGCCACAGACACATACCCCAGTCTTAACATTTTTAAACTCAGTATTTGAATACATTATTTATGAATCAAGATAGAAAATGTAGATAGAACTTTGAAGGAAGACAGAGTAGGACTTAAGTTTGGATCCAGCAAATTCTGGATTTAAAATTTAGGTGGGAAAATTTATTCTAATAAGCATTTAGAAATACAAAAATCTGAATTCAGAAAGGATTCCAAGTCCAACATGATGTATTTATAGGGATAAAGTCAGTGGAATAAATGATTCCCATTTATTCTGCAAACATTGGTTCAGGGGTCAGTATGTACCAACTTCTACTCCAGTTATAGGTAAGATACCAAAATATGACACACTGTCCCCAGTGACTTAGGAATTCAAAGTTTAGGAGTAGAAACATAGATAAGTTATAAAAATACATATAACTAAGTATAAATTATTCTCAATGGAAGAAACAGGGAGTGCTTAACTGTACCTCAGGACAGGAACCATAATGAATTTGGAGAAAAACATTCAGAGTAAAACTGATGATCAAATAAAGATAGAACATCAATGGGAATTTACCAGCTGGATAAAGTAGGAGTAGGTTGTGCCAAGTTAAGGTCTGCCTTTGGAGCTGTAAGTTGTTGTTAAGCAGAACTACATAGCACATAAGAGTCTAAGAAGACATGAAGCTAGCAAGGTAGTGCTTATTGCTTTAATCTATAATATATCATATGCATGTGGCATGATAAATATGCGAGTGTACACAACGCACACATGAAGGTACTTTAAAAAGGTCGTGGAAAATGATATTAAAAGATAGGTTTATATTGATGCAAGAAATTTTTGAAATACAGGTATACAATGTGTCTTCAAAGAGTTAAGGTAAGATGAATGTTATAAATAAACTATGCATGGTTTTCAAAATTTATTTGCAACAAAATAAAACCTTTTAATTTCATTTTCACTTTTTAAAGTACTTTTAAATTTATTTGAGAGGTAGAGAGAAACTGACAGATAAGAGACAGCTTCCATCTGCTTGTTCACTCTCCAAATGCCCACAACAACCACAACTGGGCGAGGGCAAAGCCAGGAATTCCCATGTGGGTAAGAGAAACCCAGTTACTTGAGCCATCACCTATTGCCTCCTAGGGTATACATTATCAGAAAGCTGAATCAAGAACCAGTGGCAGATATCAAACCATGGCACTGCTATATGAGATGCAGGTGCAATCTAACTAGTGCTTTAACCAATTGTTGGTGCCTTTCACAAACTTGAGATTTTTCAAGTATTATTATGATATCTTCTTCTATTCAAACAAGTATTAACATCATTCCAAACTACTGGAGGCATTATTTATAACTTGAACTAAGATGGATTGACAGTAGGTTCCCAAGTGAAAGCTGATAGTTATCTTTGAGTCATTAGTAAAAGTTCCAAAGCTTGAGAATTTTCAGATAACTTCCAGTAGGTTCATTTTCTGATGAATTATTCAATACAGAAAGATTATAATTGATCTTTTCATGTGGGCCCACATAATACCATACTTGGATAAATATTATTACTTAATTAGTAAAATAAGTAATAATCAGTATGGCATTATAAAAATAGTTCCATAGTAGTTATTTTTCAAATCCAGTTTTTCCTTAACATAGAAAACTAATAATCTGCTTAAAGATATATAATCTTAACCTTTCTGCCAAAGAACATGAGATTGGTTCCTGAAATAATAAATGGGGGTTTAGATTTGTAAGAAATCTTAATCTAGTTTATGAAACATTTTAAATTATGGTTAGTATTATTCACCAAACTTATCTATTCCAGATTATTCTCATTTAAAAAAAAGATTTAATAAAAAGATTTGAACAAAGCTACCAATTGAGGAAAACTGCACAAAGAAATACTGTGCTTATTTAGCTTTCCTGTCAGTTTCAGTTTAAAATGCCAAACCAGGTAGTGTAATGATTTTCTTTAAAAAAAAAGTGTTTAGAAGTAATTTTTTCTTTTTACAGGTTGAAGAAGAAGGCTTGCAAATTTGTGTTGAAATATGTGGTTGTGCCCTTCAACTTGACCTTCATGATGATCCCAAAACCAAATGTCTAATTTACAAAACAATTGCACATTTTTTGCCAAATGATTTGGAGATCCTCAGAATTTGTGCACTCTCAATATTTTTTCTTGAGCGCTCCTTAGAAGCTTATCGTACTGTGGAAGAACTTTACAAACGTCCTGATGAAGAGTATAATGAAGGCACAAGTAGTGTTCAGAATCGTGTTCGTTTTGAATTGCTTCCAATTTTGAAAAAGGGATTATTTTTTGATCCTGAATTTTGGAATTTTGTAATGATTAAGAAAAACTGTGTGGCATTATTGAGTGATAAGTCAGCAGTTAGATTCCTAAGTGAAAATACACTGGAAAATTCTACAGGCAATCTGAAAAAGAAAACGAAACAGCAAGGTTTAGATGAAGGGCTTGACTCTCTTACAGATCACAGCACTGGAGAGACTGATGCTGATGATGTATCTGCAGTGCAACCTAAAGGTCATGTTAATACAAAGAAAAACCTTACAGCTGTTAATACTTCCAAAGTCGATCACAACGTCCCAAGGCATCGGTGTATGTTGTGTAACAAAGAATTTCTAGGTGGTCATATTGTAAGGCATGCCCAGGCTCATCAAAAAAAAGGCAGTTTTTCATGTGTGATATGTGGTAGGAAATTTAGGAACAGAGGACTTATGCAAAAGCATTTAAAGAATCATGTGAAGAAGATACAGAGACAACAAATTGCTGCAGCTCAGCAGGATGAGCAGGAAATCACTACTCCGCACCAGCTAAATTGTTCCAGTTCTTCTGTTTCATTTGAAAACGGGAATTCTGATAATAAGGATCTGGAAGTGGAGACTCTTACTGCCTCCAGTGATGGAAACAAAGGGGTCATCTCTGAGCATGTGGCTGAACTGACTGAAATTCCTGTAAGTGTAGCAGAAGATGTTATTGAAAACATTATTGAAAATGGTAGTCCTGATACTTCTTTAAATAACGTCTCAGAGCCTTTACCTCGATGTGAAGATGACTTTGAGGAAGAAGAAGATGAGGAAGCTGATTATGAAGAAGATGACTATGACCTGAATCAAGAAACTTCAGTCATTCACAAAATCAATGGAACTGTGTGCCATCCAAAAGACATATATGCTACGGATCAAGAAGGAAACTTTAAGTGCCCTGCTCTTGGCTGTGTCAGGATATTTAAAAGAATTGGATTTCTGAATACACACGCAAGAACTGTACATCCAACTGATTTAAATGTGCGACAAACAGTAATGAAGTGGAGCAAAGGAAAATGCAAATTTTGTCAAAGACAATTTGAAGATTCTCAACATTTTATAGATCACCTTAACAGACACAGCTATCCAAATGTGTACTTTTGTTTGCATTTTAATTGTAATGAGTCATTTAAGCTGCCATTCCAGCTTGCCCAGCATACAAAAAGTCACAGGTTATTTCAAGCTCAGTGTAGTTTCCCAGAATGCCATGAGCTTTTTGAAGATCTTCCTCTGCTATATGAACATGAAGCTCAGCACTATTTAAGTAAAACACCGGAATCATCTGCACAACCAAGTGAAGCAGTTCTTTTGGATGTTCAACCAGATTCAAATCCTAATCATCAGGAAAAAGACTCATCTAGTAATGAGAAACATACTAGTAGTCTGCTAGTTTCTACTAACAAATCAAGGAAAGATTCTACAGAACCAAAGATGTGTATAGAAAGTATGGAAAAGAAAACAGACAGTTTAGTTCAGAATGGAAATGAACATTCTGATAACACTGTCTCAAATATAAGCTTAACAGACCAAAAGATGCCTGACATAGAACCAAATTCTGAAAATAATTGTAGTATTAGTGATTTAGTGAATGGACACAGTGAAAGAGAACAAATACCTGCAGTTGCATCAGATCCTGCTTTGAAAATGGATACAAACAGAATCAGGACAGAAAATGGTTCCATTTTACCCAGTGTTGCACCACAAGAACACAACAACCTGCCAGTATCTCAGGCACCATCCAAACCAAATCTGACAAGTGAACATACTTCATATGGCTTAATGTTAACAAAGCCATATGTCAGACCATTGCCTCCCAGTTACCTTGACGAACGGTACCTCAGTATGCCAAAACGTAGAAAATTTCTGACTGATAAAGTAGATGCCTGTTCTGATCAAGATAACGTTTATAAAAAATCAGTGAAAAGATTAAGATGTGGCAAATGCCTGACCACCTACTGTAATGCAGAAGCACTTGAGGCTCACCTTGCACAAAAGAAATGTCAGACACTCTTTGGATTTGATTCAGATGATGAAAGTAAGTCTTCTATCTTCTCAATAGATATATCTGTAGAAATAGAAAGTACTGTAAATGGTAGATATTTCAGAGTCTATAAAATTTACAGTACAACCCCATACATCATTTCTCTTAATCCATACAACCACTCTGAAACTTCCTGTTATATAATATAGGTCAAGCAACTGAAATTCACATGCTAAGTCACTTGCACAGTGATAGGTCTAAGAATTTGTGGAAACCAGAATTAAACACATGTGTTTCACACTCTAATGATATTCTTTCCATTATATCAGAGGATTTTCTTCAAGTTTCATGTAATAAAAGCTCTAGAAACAAAGTTCTGATGGGAATGTTTTTTCATCTGTATGCCAGAATATAAATCAAGTGAAGCTGAGTCTCTGTTATAAAAATATGAGTTAAAAAAAAACTGAAAATGATTAAAAAACAAAAAGAGCAAAAGGAGAGTTTGCTTTTCTACTAATACCAATATCCTCTGGATGAGAGAGGGTATAAATTAAATTAGAATCTGACAGAATTCCTGTTGAACATCTGTAAAATCTGAATTAACAAGACATGTTCTGTTTTACAGGTGCCTGATAAGAAACGTTTCAGGAAGATCTGTCGATCAAGCAGTAGTGTGAAAAAAGCACTACAAGAAAATGTATCATCAGTTTGCTATTTCCCTGATGGCCTTAATTTTAGAGCGGTCTCAGATTACTAAAAATAAAGACAAAGCACATTTTCTAGAATGAACTTGCAAAGGAGATGTGCTGGCTTAGACTCCAAAAGGGTTATTATAAAACTCCCAAAGTACCAGTTATCCAGAAAACCACATTTTTAAAAAGTGTATGATGATTAATGGCAGCATGTTCAGTTTTGCTTATGTGAAAACATGTTCGCGCAACTACTCAGAAAGGAAAACCAGCTATGGCCTTACAGAAAGAGAAAAGAAACCCATTATTAAAAAGGAGGGAGGGGGAGCTGGTTTACAATAATAAACAATGTAAAGCAGTCTAAAGCTGGGATTTGTTTTCTTTTCACGAACAATTAATTATGGCCTCCTAGTCAAACAAGGTTTGAGGAACCACCGCTGTTTAATTTGTGATATACTTTAGAAATTGATACATGGATATAAAATGATTTATTATCATGATATTTATTAAGTAAGAGTGTAACTTGTTTCCAGATGATTAGACGAGTCCAAGTTTGATGAATAGCATGCCAGTGTTGAAAATTTAAAAAAAAAAAAAAACCAAATGCTTTACTAATAAGCTCTTGATAGAACCTTCCACTTTCTATTTTGATAATACAAATTAGTTGTATTTAAAAGCTAGCAGCATCCATTACATAGAAAAGTGCCATCAGTTTTGGGAAGAAGTGGGAGGAATCTAAGACTATTGCAGGCTATATAGTTAAAGCAAAACACTGACTTGCAAATTCTTCAATGTGAATAATGGTAAAAGCACACTGTGATATTTCTATTTGTATATAGTATAGGATATTGCTTGATAATTCATAGTAATGTCCTTTAGACATTAATGTGAGTTATCTAAGTATAGTCCTATAAAGATAAATGGCTTACAAATCTGTTGTCTCAGAATCAGGTCAAGAATTCATTTTACTCAATTAGGAGTATTAATTCCAAAATAAGCCATACTACTCATTTTTTTAATTCATTAGTTGATGGATTGGTCTGAATAATAATTTTATATAGAAAAGGAAGTATTTACAAAAAGTATTGCACAGCAAGAACACAATATGAGATTATTTTCCTTGGTGACCAGTAATTTTCCTAAGGAACATTTTAATTTAACAGTCAATAAACTGCTAAACAAATCTTTTACAAATGTTTTATAAAATACCCTCTCAGAAGTTTTCCACTTGTCCATTATTGAAAGGAGGATGCTTAAAGATATCCTTTTACCTAATCATGTGTTAATATACAAAGGAAGAAAGAATGAAAATGCAAAGACAAATTCTTCAAAAGTGGACTTACTAATACACCACAGTCAACCAAATATTCCAGTAATTTAACTGGTAAATTTTTAATCAAGGCAGATAATCTCATCAGCCTCTGCTATTTTAAATTTTAGGGTATTAGAGCTTCTTGAATGAAGTTAGTAGGGAAGTGGGACATTTCTTTCAGGGTAACATCCAGACTTTATTAAATTATGATTTCTAGGTCATGATAAATCAAATTATCTAAAAAAAATCCTCAATTTATACTTATCATGGGCATTCACTACTATGCAATGATGGTCATAAGTCCATTCCAATCAAATATGTTTGTTTTTATTTTGTTATGTAGCCTACATTAGGCTGTGGAATTTACATTTAGAGAACAGATAAACACATAATCAAGTTTTTAAATCCTTTAAAATCAACTAAAAATGTTTTCCATATTTGTCGATACTAAAAATGTAATAATTGAGTTCAATTTCAGTTCATTCTAAAAATACAACTTGTAATAAAAAGCCTGTTTGAAAACTCGTTCATTTGGACAATGAAGTTTTTTTTTTTGAAACTTAATTTTTGCTTTGTACATTCTCCAGAAGTTTAAAATAACGTGTCTCACATTTGTAATAAGTTGTGACATAAATTCATGCCCACAAAAGCATGAATTTTCATTAATTTTGAAGTTCATGCTAAAATGTTTTAAACATATTTCACCTGTTATATTGTCTTTGAGGTTTCATTTCCATTTCTGTGTTGCTAAAAGTGTTTCTGAAAGATGGAGCTCAAACTGTTTTATACATAACTAAATCAAGGAATATTTTATAAAATTCTATTTGACCACACTGTTCTAACCTCCTTATTTATGTACTTCTTAAATAATGGCTATTGAAAGAATGTGTATATTTTATTATGTCTGCCTTCTAAAATATAAACCCACATCGTTTTACTTTTATGGGGTACATGAACTTGCAACAGTTCTAATTTGGGATCCAGAAGAAACAAAAGCTTTCTTATTCCTTAGATTCCTTTCCTGTTCTTTTCTACTTGTTTTTAGGGTTGTTTATCTTACATGGACCAATTTCCAAATCTTTGTTTTTAAATAAAATTTCCTTCAAAACATTAAGTACTAACTTTCTGCTGTGTGTCAGTGAGGTCAGAGAAAGAGCAAATCTGAATTTTTGCTGCTCAGCTATTACGGAGGAGATAGAAAAGGGGAATCTCTGTGGACAAGGACACTGGTACTTTGGGCTTTAGCCATATTCATTTTTTTAAAAACCACAAATTATATAGTGCATTGATAATTTATGCCATTGAACTGTGATTCTTTTCAAATCACACTAAAGGTTCAACCATACTCCTTTCATGTTTGGTTTAATATTGTTGTATGAATGAAGAACCTAAAAGGGATGATAGTGTTTATTTTTTAATTTATTTGGTACTGTAAAACACCTTTTCAGAATGAGTAAATGCTGCATATGCATTCTGGAATTGTTAATATGTGAAAGATATTACAGATTCAGCAAGAAAGGAAATTTGTGCTTCCTTGTTGAACATTAAATTATTTTACTTTGCATTTTATAAGAGTACAAATTAAAACTGAGCCATTGAACTGCAATAAATCAACAATAGTGTCTCATTTCAAGAAACTTTTTGTACTGTACATAGATTTGTTCAATAAAACAATGTCCTTGTTGGTAAAGAAGGTGTTCAGTTTTATATAGTATGTTGGTTGCAAAAGGAGTTAGGATTATTTATACTATATAGTAATAACAAATTTATATTATGTCTCATGATAAAGGAATGGGGTATTTCAGTTAATATCATTACCATATTCAGATTATTTTTTGACAAAAGAAAAATTAAAAGCTAAACCAAAATAAACATTTTTGAACATTAATGTCCGTATGTTACAATAAAAGTTGGTAGAATAATAAAGTCACTTTAGGTAAGTGGTTTCAGTGTGATATACATAGTACTCTCTGTAAACTTAGTAGGTGTTAAAGAAAGAAATGTCAGAAACCTCCAAAAAAACACAGATGAATTTTCCACCCTGATAATTCTTCAGAGAGGATGAGCTTATGATAGAACTATAAAAACAAAACAAGACTAAAGTAAATCACTTTAGGAAAACCTCGTATACTACTTGCCATAACTTGGAACCTGAAAAAAACATAAATGAAGCTTGAAGTAGAAAAACTTTTTGATGCAGTGAAGTAGAACTGCAAATAAAAGAACACTTAGTTAATCTGCACATGTTAAAAGCATTATGCTTTACAACACTGAAAGTTACTGCAGCATTCTAGAGATGAAATGAGATACAGAACTCAATGGCTGATATTTAGACAAAATTGCTGGGGTTTAGATAACTTTGCAATTTATTTGGCTCTCAGTTCTGGTGGCTGGAAGATCCAAAGAGCATGGCTCTGCCCCTGTGCCTGTGTCACAACATAATGCAGAAGCAGAACAGGTACGTGTGGGAGCAAAGAAGACAGCCTGGAAGGGTCAGGTTCATTTTTATAACAGCTTGGCTCTTGAAGGGTACTACATTAATCCCTCCCAGTGGTGGTGTCCCATGATCTAATCAGCTCTCAAAGGTCCTATCACTTCATACTGTTACCATGGGGACCACGCTTGTGGCAACTGAGCCTTTGAGCGGCATAAACATCCAAACCAAAACACATAGCATAACATAAGATCTATATTGAGCTCAGCAACTGACTGCTCAAACAAGGACACGAGTTTTGGCCATGTATCAAGATTTAAGATGGAATCAATCTAATATTGAATCAAAATTAAAAATGGGAAGTTCATGCTATGATGGGTACAGCATACTGGGGAGGAAGTGGCTTCTGTTTTACTAACTTATGATGTACCAACAGCTGGTACAACAAATAAATACATAAATACCACCTGAAAACAATGAGTAAATACATAAATACCGCCTTTTAGACACCAAGGCTTGGGAAGGGTGGCAAGTCACACAGCTAATAGACAGGTGGCACTGAAAAATCAGATGTGTCCTAAAACCATGTTTTCAATATTGCCATGCAGTTTTTTTTTTTTTTCCCTTAAGTGGCTCTACTATATCCAAA